GATACCTAGACTTTTCAATTATTATAAGGGTTAAATTAGAATACATGATTATATCCTCATAGTTCCATTTGAGGGAACATGAGGGTTTCTGTTGCGCTCTTCTCTCAACCTCAAGTTGTAGAATGAAATCTTAGCTCTGATATCTAGTTTGTGTCCATATTTCCTTTTGGTTGCTAATAATAAACCAAGTCCTGGCATGTTAGGAACAGAGGGGGTGTGATAGATGTAACCTAAAGTATAAGGTTCACTAGCTGGAGTCAAGGTGGGAATATTCAGGCACCCAGTTGGCTGTCGGGGAGTTCAAGTTCCATCTCATTTGTAGCATTAACCTCCATCCCCCTGCAGAGTAGCCAGGAGGAGGCTTTAGTAAGTGGACAACTGTTGGGCAATAGGTGGGCCTTGGTTCTTCAACCAAAGGCTCCCAAAGAGTTTCTAATATCCATTCTCACCATTGAAGGAAAAAACAACAGAAACAGGAAGGAATTGTAGGTAGTAAACACAGGCTTCCATTATCTTGGACACATCACGAGGGAATAAGACATACAGGAGGTTTCGAGAAGTCAGGAAGGAAGGCCTGAGGCTGGTGAGGGGAACTTGCCCTCACTCACACAGCTGATTGCTGCTGGCTCTGGTGCTGAGGTCCAACATCAAGCTCCCATGACCACAGTTTTTTGCTGCTCAAACCAGACAAGAGGCAGGTGGAGGTGTGCCCATGGCATGCGAGCTGATTGAGAAGAAGGCCACCTCTCCTCACCCAATATTACTACCTCTGTGCAGCAGTTCCACAAAGCAGTTGTCCTCCTCCAGGGGGTTTACCTGTGTGGCATTTCAGAAGAGAAAAGCCAAAGACAACAAATGCAGCCTGATTTCGCAGGCATTAATCCTAGATTCCAGAGGACTTGAGTATCGGCTCTGATCACCTTTCACCCTCTCAGAGCCAAGCTAATGATTCATTTCTGATCAAGCGTAGTGAACAGACAAAATGGACATTCTAGTGGTTCCCCAAGGCCTGTGTGGTTTCCTGACTCCCGTGTCTCCTCCGTGAAGGAGCATCATTGTCCTTCTTCCTTCTGCACATGCCCTTTGTATTTCCAGCAACCCTTGGTTCCACATCCATAGAACTCACCAGCTCAACACGTGTCCAGAGAGTACACTAAGGATACATTAAACTGTGCATCCCAAAACTGGTGGAAGGAAAAACACGTTATTCAAAATGAATTTTCCTACACAGGCCCACTGCTATGATAGAAAAACAAAAGCTGGAAAAGAAAATGACCCCCATTTTCCAAACATAGCACACACCCAACTATGAAAATCAGTTACTCATAGGCAGCTGAATTTTTAATTCAGAGCCAAGCAGATCTAAAGGTACACCTTCCACTAATTGAAAGCATCTGCTGTGTGAGTGTGAGCACAGGGGGTAGAAACTCCCACACACTAATTGGGAACATGCAACGTATTTATCCAGTAAAGTTCACACTTTTCCCAAGCCAGAGTGTCACTTCTGCCCTAGAGTTAAGCGTAGAGATATCTGGTCAGTGGAGACTCATTATGTATGGGATCACAAAGGATCTCAAGTTGCTGAAATCCCTCCAAACAGAAGAAAAACTGTATATTTAAACATTTCATCAAAAGAAAATATTACCCAAATTGCCTCCCTTCCATTTCTTATTGCCATCTGAAAATTATTTCACACCTTTTATGTCTTCTAAAACTTCTGCTTTCTCTGATACCAACAACTCAGGGGGAGTTTGGTAGCATGCAGGTGTCCATTCTGTCACATGCAGCAGCCAGCACTATGCTTAGTCTCAGAAAATGTATTTCCTCACTTTTTCACTCTGAGGCTTTGGGGGTAGATGACAAGCAGGTTTGTATCTTGCAGACTTCATAAATCAGAATCTAGAACATGTGTAACGTTTATCTGTGGTTGATCATGTTAAAAATGCAACTGATAACTAAAGTGATCTTATTAAGAGACATATTTTATACCTTTGGGTTTGAGAAGGATCGAACCATACAGTTTTGGATCTGGGAGGGATCTGGAAGAGCATCTAGTTGAATTCTTTCAGCGATAGCAATAAACATTTACTGAGAACCTTTAGTATACCAGGGTAAACCCATAAATGAATAAGCCCAGTTTCTATCCTCAAGCAGTTCAGCTAACAAAGTCAACTATATGGTACTTAATAGGGGTGATAAAAAGAGTTCTGTGCATAGCTCAGCTTGTTTAAGCTGCCAGGAAGACCTTTCAAAGGAGATGGCATTTGAATTGGATTTGGAAGAAGGAATAGAGGTTGCCAATCAGAGATGTGTGGGAGGAGCAAGTGAAATGAAAGATCAAGAAAGATCTTCGTCAAGAAAGATCCAGTGATATAGCCCCAGACTCAATTTTTTTTTTTTTTGTACCTACTATTGAATTCAGGAGTACTTAACCACACTGAGTGACATTTCAGCATTTTTTTTTTGAGACAAGGTCTCACTAAGTTGCTTAGGTTCTTGCTAAACTGCTGAGGCTGGCCTTGAACTTGCGATTCTCTTGCCTCAGCCTCCTGAGTCACTGGGATCATAGACATGTGCCACTGCACCCGGCTAACATTCTTATTTTCAAAAAGGACATTCAAGCAGGCCAGTCTCAGCAACTTAGCAAGGATCTAAGCAACTTAATGAGACCCTGACTCAAAATTAAAACTAAAAAGGGCTGGAGATGTAGTTCAATAGGAAAGCCCCCCTGCGTTCAATCCCAGTACTGTGGGAAAAAATGAAAACAAAACACACTATTCAAAATGAAACTTCTGAATGGTTTTGTAAAAACAAGAAGCCACTACCCATTTAAACATCCAGGAACATGGACTCTTTCAGCCAAAGCTGGTGGAGAGCAGATAGGCATAGGACCCTACCTGTAAGCCTCGCACTGGCAGAACCCAGACCACTCGCCCTGAAATGAGGCCACAATTGGGTTGGATCTCATGTTCTTGTTCACTCCATTGAATGAAATTTCCCACTCATAAAAGGAACCACACATTTGGACTATTTTTCTGAACTTTTGAAATCTTTTCCAAATTGCTCCTGGAAGATCTTGGGGAAAGGCCTTTCTTAAAAGTGTGACAGTGCTGTAAATGCCCCCTCTGCCACCTATCCATCACCATGCCATCCTTCAAGCCCATTCTTCTGGCTGATTTGGAGGCTGGATGGGGCTGATTTTGCCCCCGTTCCAGCTGCCACTGCCCTGCCCTTAACGCGCTGCCCCATTTAAAATCTTGATGCCTCTTCTCCACAGTCATATCTTAATTAATGATGGACTCTTGGAATTTTAGAACAGAAATTATCTCTTCCATCACCTTCATCTTACAGATGAGAAAGCTGAGGCCCAGAGAGTGGAAGGAAGCCAATTTAGGTCACAGAGCATGGCCCTAGAAGTACGGACCCCACACCAGGTTTCCTTACCTCCGGGTGGAGCTTTTCCTCTGCCCCATGCTGCTGCCCGGGCTGTTTAGTTAGGCTGCACATTTCTTACAGGCAGACTTGTGTCAGATGAACCAACATCTCCTTGAACAAAGGCCTCAGTCTTGGCATCGTGGCTGATCATTGTGACCAGAGACAGCAGTTTGAATCCTTAGCTCCATCTGCCTGACCAACCTTTTCCTCTGCTTTCAAATTCCACTCTCCTGAACCACTCAATGACCTCAGGGAAGTCACTGCCCTTCCTCCAGGTCTCAGTTTCTTTCTCTGTTAAATAAAAGCACTGGGGTGGATGGTCTCTTGGAATCCTTCCAGCTCTGATAGTCCTAGAATCGTCTACCCTTCTAGAGGTTCCCTTGCTGCCTTCAGGACCAGCCTCATTGTCCCACGTGCCTTCGCTGTACATCCCCCTGGTGTCTGATGTGCAGTAAGTTCCCTCATGGCCCAGATGGCCTTGTATCAGGGAAGGAGACCAGGCTTGGAGTCCAGGAGCCTGATTTCAAATCCTGTCTAGGTGATTTAGCATCTATGGCTGTCAGCAGGTCACTTCATCTCTCTCAGCTGCTTTTTTTTTATTTTTCAAGTAAGATATGAATAACAATACATAGGGACTTGTCAGACTTGGTGCAATGAGACAGATTTGTAGAAATATGTGGCACAAAGAAGGTGTTCTGTATACAGTTGCTTCTTTGCTTTGTTCTGCATCCAGCTCATTGAGAAATGAGCTGTTCCAAATAAGCAGATTCTCAATAATAGGTTTACTAACTAGAGCTACAGAACATTGCCTAATTTTATATTAAAAATCTTTCTGCTATTAATTCTGTGTTTCCTTTGTATATCACACAGAGGTATATGCCAAAGATATTAGGAAGAGTTAGGAAAAGTAACATTCCTACAAAAGGTAGGCATGATAGGTTCTGGGGACACAAAAGAGAATAGGGAGGAAAATGTCTGTGCCTTTTGAAGAAGCTCAAATTTTTCCATCTGGCCCAGTGGGGGACCTTTGAAGGGTTTTAAGCAGGAGAGTGGCAGGATTAGGTTTATCTCAGGGAGATCACTCAGGTTGCCAGGGGAATAAAGCAGGGTAAGGAGCAAGAGGAGAGCTGAAAGGCCACAGTGATGGGTGGTGGGGATCTGGGTGGATAGATGGAAAATCACAGGAAGAAAAAGAGATTTGCAAATTCCCAGCAGCTTTATGGAAAAACAAACGAGTGGAATATCAGCCTACCATAGGGATAATATAAAACACTGAAAAGTATACTCACCCAGGAACCCCACTCCCAAACTGACCGCCGCTCACAGGCTAAACCGTTTTCTCCCAATGGCTTTCAGATAAAGACCTTCTAATGCATTTGTTGAGTCAAAGTTGATTCATAAAAACTTGGTTCAGGGAGACATTTTTCAGAACACAATGTGAATTGAGGTGTACCTCAATAAGGTGACTGGACACAAATTGCTCAAGTACATGGGTCTTGGGTGACCTGAGGCATGCTTCTGGGCTCTTATCTGGTTTCAATTTACCTCCTCTTTTCTCCCTCCAGAATCAGTGGACAACTGCCCCAGCAACTGCTATGGCAATGGTGACTGCATCTCGGGGACCTGCCACTGCTTCCTGGGGTTTCTAGGCCCCGACTGTGGCAGAGGTGAGCACTGTGGTGGGGCTCTTGGTTTCTGCTCCCAAGACCCTTTGGGAAGCTCAGGTTCCACTTCTCAGACAAACTGCAGAACTCCAGGACACCTCACGGTGTGCCCAAGAAAGGTTCCCTAGGGTCATTCTTCAGAAGCCCTTCAATGGAATCCTGTCCACCATTGTTATCCACTGTGGGCTACGAGAGTGGTCAGGAAGGGAGGGACTGTACAGGGCAGCCACAGTGAATTTAGTGTCCCTTGTAGGAGCAGGCAGAGTAGCAGTGGGGGTTCTTTTACAAAGCTCATTTCCCCTTTAGAGGAGTGATCAGCTCTTCCCAAGCATCTTTGAAGTTTCTCTTCACAGGAGTGTGATTTCTCTCAGGCCTGTGGATGGGGAGCCTGGGAAGCGGCTCCGTTCAGACCTTCTGACAGCGCAGGGAGAATCTTAGTTGAGACCACCAGGGAAGGACCTGGGAGGCCAAGCTTCTCCTCTCCACACGGCCCTGCTGTTGCCTGATATTTAAGCACATGCGGTGCTGACGAAAACCACTACTGAGAGAGTTTTAGAGGCTACCCACAACCTGCCTTGTGCTTTTGGTCTTCATTTCTGTCCTGGAAGAATGAACAGGGAAAATGCCAAAGGAGGCCTGTAGTCCTGAGGATTTGGTCCTCCCCTTGGGAAGCTGAAACGGCCTCCTCTGCTGTTTTTCCACCACTTCACTCATACAGCAGCCATTGGCTTCACACCCATTTGGGATTTGGTCCTTTGCTGGTCACTGTGTTTACAACATGAAACAAGGCCCAGCCCTGGGAGCTCCCAGTCTGTCCTGGGAGTTAGACAAGCAAATGGACAACGGCAAAGCAGCACCGTAATAAGTAAAACATGACAGCAAGGTTAAAGCGGACCGTCTCTGCTTGGAAGAGAGAAGGATCAGCTCAGGAGGGGTTTCCAGACAAGGCAGCATTGGACCCAAGTTCTGAGGCTGATGGAGTTGTTTATGAGTAGAAAGCAGAGATGGTTTCCCAGGCTCAGGGAACATGGCTCAGCAAATACTATGCCACGATGTCACTTTGAGAGTTCTGCTTATTTTAGCTAATGTGAAATAGACTCCATTTGAGGCAGCAGAGCTGGCAACCCCAGGAAGCACAGTCATTACCTGCTGAGTGCTTTAAAAGGGAAAGGAGTCAGGTGGGGCCAGGGGAAGGTAGCACAGAGAGAGATGAGTCATTCCTCCTAACAAGAATTACTGTCTCATCCCATATGCACTTAAAGTTTAAGAGTCATGTATAAAACAGCCTTACTGTATCTTGGTAAGACTGGCAAGTACTTATAGCACAATGCAATATAATTTATTTTTATATAGTGTCCTTTGTAGAGATGATCACAAAACCCTTTACGCTAAGAGACAGAATGGAAAGATAATACTTTAAAGAGCCAAGTTGGGCCCAGCTCTTCTCTCAAGGGGGCAGTGGTGTGTGGGACTGGAGTGGAGGCCTAAAAGACAAGGGAAGCAGGGGTTTGCTGGGTTAAAGACAGCAGTAAGTGGTGTTGCAGATGAGGTGTGGGGAAGGGAAAATGGAGTGCTATTAGAAGGAGAGCATTGGAGGAGAGATTCAGGCTAGCAAGGGGCCCAGCCACTGCCTTTTCCAGGGAGAACAAGAAGCAGACTGCAGCTTCCTGTCTGAGCTTCCCAGCAGCCCCCGGACCACACCAGCTATAGGAAAGGGATGGAGAAAGCCTCACTCAGTGGGCAGCAGCACTGGGGGCCCTGCACCTCGTGCTTTCACCTACAATTCCAGATGTGTTTAACCTGGAGAGAAATAAAGCAAAAGAAACGTGACGGGCACATGTCTGGCCATCAGATGTGTGGCAAAGTTGGGAATGCTGAACGATGACTCATGCCAGGCTTCTGGCACTGTCTCCCCAGCCTCCTGCCCTGTGCTCTGTAGCGGAAATGGCCAGTACATGAAGGGCAGGTGCCTGTGCCACAGCGGCTGGAAGGGTGCCGAGTGCGATGTGCCCACCAACCAGTGTATCGACGTGGCCTGCAGCAACCATGGCACCTGCATCATGGGCACCTGCATCTGCAACCCTGGTTACAAGGGCGAGAGCTGCGAGGAAGGTAGGACATGCCAGTGGCAGCTGTAGGTCTGTCCTCTGAAATAGAGGCCAGTACACAGTGCTAAGAGGAAGCCTCCCAACATCCCTGTGACCTCTGCCCTTGATGCTAGAAGTCCGCCAGCATCTGTAATGGTCCACAAAGGGGACGCGGGCTGTCACTTACTGCCCATTTATCATATCAAGGTTCTGTGCTAGAAGCGTCCTAACACCTAATGTCAAACCCTGTTAGGAGTTTGCTCGACTGTTCAGTGGCAGAACTGGGTTTGGCCCAGTCATTCTGGCTCTACAGCCCAAGTTCTTTCCACTTCCCTCTAAGCTCATCTGCTCTTTCCTATCTCCATTTCTCAAGTCAATTTCTACCACAGACTTCACACTCTGTCTGCCTTTATCATACTCCTATATGTGTGTGTTACTGTGTGCATGCATGTGTTCACATATGACTCGTTGGTGCTCATGAGCATGCCTTTCTCCTTCATAAAGCAAATGTGTGGCTAAGTAAATCAAAGATGGATTTAACAATGACATTTAGATTTTTTTCTGGAAAATCTAACTGAGTGAGCCGGATGAATATTTTTGTCTTATAAATGAAGAAACTGAGACCCAGGGAAGGGCAGTGACCTTCCCATGATCAAAATCTGACCAATGGATTCAGCCCAGATCTTCTCCTTTGGATTTCCAGACAATAGGAGGAGTCTCACTCACAAGCAACATGAAGGAGCTTTTATGACTGCATATTCTAAAATCACATATATGTTTGAGTCTGGCTCTGTACTGGCTTGCCTCTGTTCCTTCATCTATAAAATGGGAATACCTTCCTCAGAGGGCCATTGTGAAGATCGAATTAAATGACCCATGAAAACCACTTAGCTCAGGGTCTGACACATAGTAAATGCTCCATAAATGTGGCTTTTTATTGTTAGGATTATCCTGGGGACAAATGAAGCACAGTTCCTGTTTTACCCACTCATTTCACCCAAGGTCTTTTGAGACAGAGGGACTTTGCCATTTGCAGTTAATGAACGATGCTGTGCACTGTGGTTATCACCTGTTCACCACCATGTAGCACCCTGGCCCCTTCCCCTGCCCATGCCAGAGACTCCAAGGAGAGCTGGCCTTCTAAACCCATTTGGTATTTGACAGAGAAGCTCCTCATAGGGCATTATTTTCTCTTAAAAGAAAGTACTAACAGGCCATTCTCCAAAGATAGGGTACAGGAAAGGATTGAGACAGGTTTCATGCACCCCCACTTCCCCAAGAAGGGCTGGGCATTCATCAGTGGGGGTGACTGGGGCTGTTTGGGAGGAGGCACCAGCCCCTAGAACAAAGTAAGCTGGCTTTCTTAGCCCGAGAATTAGGGACCTTCCTCTGCTCTCCCTTTCCTTTTGGACACTTGAGGTGGACACCCTGAGAAGGAACAGGAGACACAAAGGAGATTCCACCCCTATCCCCATCTGCATAATGTGAGCTCAGGAGGGGAACGTGTCTATCCCCAGAAAAGCTGTACTAGACGGTGCCTCAGAGCCGCAGGGTTATTTACAAAGAGAAAAATGTTGTTCAGAACTTTGATTTACGTTATCTATTTGAAAAGAAATGCTTTTACTCCTGCTTTCTCTTCTGAAGAGGCCCATCTGGGACTGATTCCCTTTATTATTTCTTTCTCTGGCGAGGCGTCATTACATAGTCCTGTGTTTATAATAGGGTTTTCTTGGGCCTTCCTCCTCCTCCTCCCCCTCCTCCCCCAGCTCTGTGCTAACTGTGTTTATAAAACATCAGCTAACAAGCTTACTTTTTTTCCTCTCTCTTCCTTCTTCTGAAGTTTATTGCCCCATATTTTTTAAAGCTTGAACTGAGCCAGCAGGACGCTTGGAAGGGGTGGGGGAGGGGCAGAAGAGAACAAACTTAGATCTTTTGCAGTGAAAAGCGAGACGCTGAGTTCTTGGTCCTGAAGGTGTCTAATTGCTTGTGTGGTCACTGGAGCATGGAATATTTGGGGGAATGGGTTGTGTCTGCAGCCTAGTCATGCAGGCCTCATCATTTCATTAATGGGCTAAGCTTCTGCTAGGAATCCTGGCTCAAAAGGCAAGCTCTGCAGTGGGAAGGGGAAAATAATGTAACTGTGAATATGCCTTCTAAGAAGAAACTAAGTCAGCCCCTTGTAAACCAAGTCAGCCCACCTCCCTATGAGTGTTACCCTCTCCTCCATCCTGTGCTCCCACCCCTGGCCTGCTGGTTCTTCCCAGGTCATGCACAGCTCCCCGTGAAGTAACTAATGCTCAGATATTGTCCCAGCATGATGGGAGGAAGGCAGCTTTGGCTCCATACTGGGGTTGCTACCACCCCAAAGGCCCAGGAAGGGGCAGATCTAGTCTTCCCATGACCTCTGTGGCAGAGCATCATTGTGGCATAGATAATGGCCCTCAGTTTAGGATCAACAGAGCACAGGGACAGCATCCATCCTGCTGGACCACTGCCAGTCCATCAAGGATCCCTGGAGCTGCTCCCTTCCGGCCTTGCAAGCCTCTTTCTAACCCTCCTCTTGCCCTACACTCGCTTTACCCAGTTGACCTGCAGAGAGGAAGGCCTCTCCTCAGTTCCTCCTGGTCTTTGTTCTCTGCCGAGAGCGTGGGATTCACTTTGCTGGTTCCTGGGTCCCTTCAGACTCATTGCAACAGGGGAAGAACAGGACTGTGATGCCAAGAGCCTCCTGCTACACTGGACACCCTCTTGGCCTGCTCTCTAACAGTGTAGATTTATAGGTTCCACCTGGAGGGTGCCCTGGGATTCTCAGAGGCCACTTGAACCGGAAGCTGAGGTCCAGCACTCACAGAATGGGAAATACCTTTATAGGCCTTGGGGTAGGAATTGCTGAGTTGTTTCCTGTCAAATTGGAAAACTCTCTGGATCTAGGGAATTATCAGAGTAACCTAATGGGCCAGAATAATCCTTCTGAGGTTCTGAGATCTGAGGCAGGTCATGAGAATTTATCACTGTTATTATTTCATTATTTTTAATTACCAGGAACTCCAACAGGTCATGTTTTAACCATTACTAAATGGTGTCCAGAGACTGCAAGGGAAGAGGGTCTTTGCCTTCATTTAGCTTTATTAATTCTCCACATTGCCTATTTCTTTCAAGTTTTGTTTTCAATTCTATTTTTAAACCACTTCCTGCATTTATGTAGGTATATATGCAGTATGCAGTTTTGAAATGAGTAAGATTGTAGCAGAAAATAGCAAGAGGCCTAGACCTTGAAAGAATGATTCCAGTGGAAATTCCTGTGTACTACAGTGTGATCTTGGGCAAGCTATTTAGCTTCTCTGTGCTTCTGCAGTTTATAGCTACTTAGTTTATACAATTCCTTTCAAGTCCTCAATGTCATTTGGACCTTACAGCAACCTAAGAGGTGTATATTTTTACCATACCTGCTTTTAGTTGGGAAGATCAGAGCAGGTATGTCCCTTGATCATGGACATAGAACCAGTTCATTTTTCACCTAATCCTTGACTAAGAAGTCCTCAGAGGCCAGATGCATGATTCTTTCCTTTGAAGTGTAGGACTTCCTCAGGAGCTCCTGGAAGGAGGAAGTGAGTACTGGAAACCCTCTAATCTCCAGCAGCTCGATGTTGGGTCCCTACCAGGACACATGTCCTCTCTGTCACAAAATGACTAGAATCCCCTTCCTCCCTAGAGCAAAAGGCAGACCTAACAACTTTTTATGGGCCAACGTCCTTTATCAATTCTGTCTTCACTCTGCTACCTTTTGTACTCTCCACCTAAACTGGAGCCACAGAGGTCAATTCTCTAACCCTTCTGCTTTCTCTATGCAGTGATTTGTGGAAGATCAGGGTCTCTTTTGATTTTGGTAGAGCCCTTAATAGAAATATCATTGGCTTCAGAAACAGAAAGACATACCTTCAAATTCTTTTCTGAATGTGGAGAAATTGGAATCCTTGAACATTATTGGGAGAAATCTAAAATATTAGAATTACTGTAGAAAACGGTGTGTTGGTTCCTCAAAAAATTAAAAATCGAATTACCATATGATCCAGGAATTTCTCTTCTGGGGATATGCTCAAACAAAATGAAAGCAGGAACTCAAAGAGATCCCTGATCCCACGTGTTCATGGCCTATTATTCGCAGGGGCTAAAAGGTGGAAGCAACCCACATGGATGAATTGATAAACCAAATGTAGCACATATAGGGCGATGGAATATTATAAGCCTTAAAAAGCAAAGAAATTCAGACACACACCGCAACAGTGGTGAACCTCAACAACATATCAAGTGAAATAAATCAATAAAAGATAAATACCATATGATATCACTTGCATGAGATACCTGGCGTAGCCAAATTCAGAGACAGAAAGTAGCATGGTGGTTGCCAGGGGCTGAGGGAAAAGAGAAATATGGATTTGTTTAATGAGTACAGAGCTTCTTTTTTATGAGATAAAAAATGTTCTGGAGATGGCTGGTGGTTAGTAGTTGCAGAACAATGTGAATGTCCTTAATTCCACTGAACTGCACACTTAACAATGATTAAAGTGGTAAGTCTAGTCTTATATTTTGCCACAATTTTAAAAAATGGGGGAAAAAATGTATCTTTGGCAGGATTTAGCTATGTGACCTAACATAAATTAGTTACCCTTCTGAGCCTGTTTTCCTCATGTGTTCCTTATTGGGTTGAGAGAACTGAATCTGATAGTGTAGATAAAGCACTTAATATAGTGCAGACACAAAGCAGGTGACCCACAATACTAGTCTTCCTTCCCCTTCCCCTTTTCTGCATCTGTCTCTTGAAACCCCTTGCCTTGGGGCCCCTGCCTTTTAGGGGCTGCTGGCTGGGAGCTGTAGCTTTCTAGCTCATCCACCACAGAGGAGAAGCTACGCAAAGTCAGCATTTGTAATCCTAAATACTCAAATCAAATGTTCACCTTCAGGCAAGTCCCAAGAATTTGGGGGAGATGATGAAATCAAATGGGATTTAGTTGCAAAATAAATTATTGTTTATAATTAAGGAATCTATTTTAATTTCATTATCACATAAATAAAATTGCATTAGAAAGTAGTAAACAGCAAAATTTTGTTGTACAGAATTATTGAGAACCTCATATATGCTGAGTAGTATTCTAGGAGGTGAGAATCAGAAATGAACAAAGCAAAATCTTGTCTTCTATCCTTGCAATTATTATGGACAATGCGGGGTGGGGGAGTCACTGGGTGCTATGTTGATGCTTGATATGGGATTATACTCGGTCCACCTCCTAAACCAAGAGGTAGAATTTGTGTACAAACTTCACAGTTGAGGAAACAGCCTCGAAGAGGTAAGTGGTCCATCACTGAGAGTTGGGGACCCAGGTCTACCCTTTGCTAAAGTGCTACTCTTTACCACAAGAGGCAATCCCACTGGTCATGGTGTCCTTCTAGCTGTGCGTTTGCTGACAGAACCCTCAATCTTGCTGCAAGATGCTTATTTGTGTCCCCTCTCCTCCTCATCACAGTGGACTGCATGGACCCCACGTGTTCAGGCCGCGGTGTCTGCGTGAGAGGCGAGTGCCACTGCTCTGTGGGATGGGGAGGCACCAACTGCGAGACACCCAGGGCCACCTGCTTGGACCAGTGCTCAGGCCATGGGACCTTCCTCCCAGACACCGGGCTTTGCAGCTGTGACCCAAGCTGGACTGGACATGACTGTTCTATCGGTAAATGTGGGAAGAAGGGGCGCAGGGTGTGGGTGGAGGGAGGGGCTTCCCACTATGATATGTTACCCATTCAGTTCTGATCAGTGGCGTAACCCTGTTCTCAGTCACCTAACAAGGGGTTCCCTATGTTCCCGAATACTTTTCTTCTTCCCCTGATCCTTCGTCTTCAGTACCTCTTCTCTTAGATGGGCAGAAGTTTCAAAAATCACAACTGTTTCTTCCATAGAGGTGAATTTGAGATTCAAAACAGCATTCTTTATCAACATTAGCAATAGTACCTGTAATTCTAGATATGTTTCTTAGAGACCCCTCTCTCACATAGGACTATTTTCCCTGGGCAAGGCTGTGGGAAAGTTCCTAGGCAAGAGCCATGAGACAGGGGTAAGAGTGGCCCCTGCCCCAGCTGCCACACACTTTGGTTTCACTCATTTCCCATAATAAAGTATAAGCTCATAGTGGATTTTAGGGTTCTCTGTGATCTGGCCCACACCTGCCTTTGGTCAGATGCTTGACTAGATGGTAGGTTCCGTGGGTGCAGCAAACATGCCTGTTCATGACTAAGCCCTGGGACTCAGCACGGGCCATACCCTTTCATCAAAAATACTGATAAATGAATGAATGATTTAAGCCAGGATTGAATGTGCTCTTGATTGCAGTTTCTGGCTCCCCACAGAATTTATACATGTCAAGTTCAAAGGGTAATACTGTTGGCATCCTTCTGTTGTAAGTGCTGTGATTTATAGACTCTTCAAAGAGGATTAAGTAAGAACATACATGATTCACTTACCATAGTATTGGTACATAATAGGTTGAGTCCACATCCAATATCACACTTAACCCACATAAAATCCCTGTGAGAAAGGAATCCCCATCCCTATTTAACCAATTTACATGACACTTTAACCAGTGAATACTTATTGAGCACCTATTTGTGCCCCAGGTACTTTTGTAGTCAGAGAGGATAAAGATCCTAGGACATCCCTACCTTCTCAGAGCTTGCATTCTGGGAATAGTAGAGGGGAGACCACAAACAAACAAAGAAAGAAAAATAAAGTGATCAGAGAATTTTTAAGTAATCCTGCCCCAGGACACTCAGCTAGAGAGTGATAGCATCTCCAACTAGGCTCTTCTGCTCTAAATCACCTTCCTCACCACTCCACACTGTTAAAACAATGTGAGGCTTAAATTAGCTCATTATGGTGTGGATTAACAGTTCTGGTTGTTATCAAGAAAGATGGCTGAGACCTTTGGTGTTCACACCTTTGGAATACTTTGAATCGCCTTTCCCCATTGAACGGAGAACTGACATTCAGTAACAGTCTAAATTGGACTTTTATCCTTGTTTGCAAAGCTCACATAAAGACATGATTGTGAGCACAGATGTGCAGAGTCTCAGGAATAATTCCTTTTATATAGCTCTGTTTATGGCAATATAATAAATGATCCTCTTAAAGCTACGCTGGCTTGTATAGTTCATTATATGGCCACAAAGCTAATTTATGATAGGTCTATAACTGTGACTTGCACCGTTAATCCCTAATGAAATTCCACAGTTTTGGAGGAGGCAGGTATAACTTTGGGTGATATTTTGAAGTATTCTGTGAAAGGAGACGACAGAACCATTGGAGGGACTCTGAGTAGAACTGTTGAATTATTTGAATTGAATTGTTTCTCAATCCTGAGTACTGCCCTCCCCATAGCTGATAACAAACCTTTGGCTCATGTGAAGGCAGAGAACCCTGTGGGGAGAAGAGGCCCTGAGTCAGACAGACCCAGGTTCAAATCCCAGCCCTACTACTTCATAGTTGTAACTTTGGGCAAGTCACTTTACCCCTCAAAGCTAAAAAATGGAGATGACTATAGTATCTACCTTCCAGGGTCACTGTGACAATTATTCAAGACAATGCAAAGGAGAGTTGAGCATGCTACTCAGCCCATGATGTGGGCTCCATAAATGTTATCTATTTTTATGATCCTGATTAACACAGCCATCAGTGGAAGCACTGGATATTAACAAAAACATTTGATAATATGAAGTAAGATAAGACATGCCTTTCAGAAATGCAAATTATAATTTTTCAGTCTCCAATCTGTAACTGACTGAATGGTGTCATGATTGTTTCAAGGCCAGGAATTTAAAGGACAGCTTCAAGTTATTGACCCCCTTCACCGTAGTAGTAAAATTTGGGGTTTTGTTGAGTGACTGATAGCATACAACAAACTACGACACACAGAAACACACTCCACAACCACACCACCATGGCCATGTGAGGAAGGATGGCAGGTGTGGTATCATCCACGCTGGAAAGCTCCGTGACTTGCCAAAGGCATGCTGGTGAGTGAGGAAAGGGAGTCGGACCCAGTCCAGGGCTCTAAGTCAAGCCTGCTTCCTGTCACCCAGTTGGAAGGATAATGAGAGCATTTCAAGTGTTCTCCTCTTATCTCAACCACCTAGGCATCACCTACTTTTGGGTCCAACCCTAGTTCTTCCTCTGTGTGGCATTGGTAGGCTTAACTTCTCTTGACTTTAGTTTCCGTATCTGAAAAATGGAGATAATAGCACCGATCTCAGCAATTATGTGATTGTTAAGTTACATCATTTTTGTACACACATAGAATAGTGTCTGCCATGTAATATGCACTTTTATATCTCTTTCTACCTCCATTCCAAGAACATTTTCACCAAGTGGAAGGTATTTTAAAACTAGTGAGTCTTTGCAATGAAGCCAAGCAAGAGCTGCCTCGTTGCCTGGATGCAAGGGCAGCCAAGAGACCATCTTTATGTTCAAAGAGGTACTAATGGAGCAGGCTCAGGTGTCACTTCAGAAGACTTGCTCCCCACTCCTTGAGCGTCTTCCGTAGGAATCTTACCCTCTCCAACCCTCAGTTTCTTCCCACTTACCTTATAAAACTGTTGTGGGGATTGGGAGAGAAAATACAGGTGAAATGGCTACCCCAGTACCTCACACAGCTCAGACACTGGACAAGCGGAAACTCTATTCATGTTATTTATGCTGTGTGCTGTCTGGCATGCCCAGAACTTTCATCAGGAACTGCACACCAGCAGACATGTCCTAAGTGGTCCTCCCAACATCAGGGTCCACTGTGGGTTGGCAAAGCTAGACAGACTCCTACCGGCCACCACCCACTAGGAAGGAGGACTGTCTCTTCCCTGAGATGAGTGTCTTGCTGCTGTTCGGCACCAGGAACAGGATTTGATGAAGGCAGCTTAAATCAACATGCCCTGTGTTCCACAGCCAGCCTGTAATGAAATGGGAGCTGACAAGTTCCTCAGCACTTTGGTGAGGTTTGTGGAAACAGTGAAGGCAGATTTTATACAGTGTTTACTTGGGTCCCTGGTTCCTGGCAGCCTGGTTTCCAGTCTCATCTCAGAAACTGTTCCTTAAATCCAGCCTGTTCATATGGTCCTCCACCCTGACAGGCAGCATGAGATAATTGTGAACAGATTCCTGTGACCCAGAAGATGCTGTATCCCACCCATCAGCCCCAGGGCACCTCTGTCCTTGACTTTGGGCCCTAAGGGAATCTGCTTCCCAAATCATTTGAGATGATGAGGACAGCAGGGAAGGTGACCGTGCTGTCATGTAGATAGGAAAGGTTGGAGAGGGGAAATGACTTGCCCAAATGATTGGCTTACAGCTGCAGAGTTGAATCCAGGGCAGACCTTTGCCTCAATCCTCAGCTCTTACCTCAAACCCTTTCCATCCAAGGAGGCTTCCTTATCTCTTCTTCCTGATAAGCCACAGGATGGAGTGCTAATTAAAGAGCCACCTATTTCTTTGTGCTCACCACATACCAGCCCTGAACTATGTGTTTTACAATCATTATCCTGGTTAAGGTTTCTAAGAGCCCTGTGAAGGTAATGTCACTAGCATTCTCATTTTCTAAATGAAGAAACTTGAAGCTCAAAAGGAGTGTTACTTTCCAGCACCTACCCCACCTTGTTAGTAAGTGGCTGAGTCCAGATTCAAACCAGATGTGGCTCCAAGGTCTTTCCTAAGTGTGTTAATCGGCTTTCTGTCACTGTGACAAAATACCTGAGATAATCAAAAAGAGGAAAGGTTTGTTTGGTCTCATAGTTTTATTGATTCCAGTCCATGGTCAGTTGGTCCCATCACATTGGGCCTTGTAGCATGGCAATATGTCATGGTGGGAGCACATGGTAGAGAAAACTGCTCACCTCATTGGTGGCCACGAAATGAAAGAGAAAAAAAGAGGAATGGCTAGGGTCCCAATACAATTTCAAGGGCATGCATCCAATGACCTAACTGTCTTCCACTAGGCCCCACCTCCTACAGGGTCAGATACTTCCCAGTAATGCCAAGGGCTGGGGATCCAACCTTCAACACATGGCCTTTGGGAGACATTCAAGACCCAGACTGCAGTGCTGACATCACGGTGATCTGAGCAGTCGTGTCCCTCTAGAACTGAGCTGTAAGCTCCATGAGGTCAGAGTCTGTCCACATCCTGAGCACAGGGCCAGACATGCATTAGATTCTCAGTGACTATTGCATGAATGACCCAAGACCTAACCAGTGAATGGGCAAAAAGAGGAAAGAGAGCCCATTGGGAACACAGAAAAGGGAGGTGTTGCAATTGAAACTCTGCCTGGGAAGATTCAGCACACCACTAGACAGACAGCTGTCCTCTCTCAGGACCCCCTCCCCCACACCAAGAACCCTTCCTTGCCACCCCACACACTCTTCGGGAAAACCAAGCCTCTGGCTCCTTCTCTGCCACTTTCCAAACCTCACTTCTATTAGTCTCAGTTGCAGTGCCAGCCAGCCAGAGCTCCTCCTGGACTAGCACCACACCACTGCCCCTCCTTCACCCCAGGGAGCAGCCTGCTGGGCTGGATGCATCATCAGCCTGTGCTTCAAGGCACAGCTCAGCAGCTCTCAGCAACACCTACCCCAAGGGCTATGGTTGGCCATTCTCCCCCTTGGCACAGGGGGAAAGGGAGCAAATTTAACCTCTTT